AGGTACCCCCAAATCATTTTTATTTTTTGATGGGCAGGCTGGAGGTACAGAGAGAGAGGGAGGGAGAGAATCCTAAGCAGGCTCCACAGGAGCCCGATGTGGGGAATGATCCCATGATCCCAGGATCATGACCTGAGCCGAAATCAAGAATTGGAAGCCCAACCAGCTGAGCCACCCAGGCACCCGCCCCCTAAATAAATTTTTAAAATAAATGCACTGCTGAGCTGGAAAAAAAAGTGTGGAATCCTTAGAGACCTCAAAATAAAAGAAACAGCAGGTAACTCAGGGAATGCGAACATTCAAGCTAGCCTTTGCACTGGAGGCATCTGCAAACCTTGGTGAGCTTGACCAGGGCAGTCTAGAGCCCAGTGAATTTGGGAGGTGTGGGACTCGTGGCTCAGATCCCCCTTCAGAAATGGAGAACTTATGATCCCAGCTGCTGTGAGAGTTTCCTGGAGATAGCTTATGCTAACACTCATGTTTGGACGCTGCCCCAGCAGAAGATGCTGCCTCGTTCAACGTCACAATGCTCCTCCTGGGGCACCTGTGTTCAGTGAGTGATCCATGAAGAGGTATGAAGCTTGGTCTTCCACCCAACTGCAGGAGAGCCCTAGAGGACTATCAAACCTTTCCTAGTGATCTCTTGCTGCATAACAAATTTGCACAATACTTAGAAGCTTAAAACAACAAACATTTGTCATGTTATAGCTCCTGTGGATCCTGTTGAGAGCTCTCATGAGGTTGTAGTCAAGCTGTTGGCTGGGCTCCTTCAATCTTACCTGGCCCACGGGAGGAGGGAGGGGGGTATCTGCTTCTAAGATGACTCATGGTTGTTGCCTGGTCTCACTCCCTCACAATATGGGCCTCACAACATGGCGCTAACTTCCCCCAGGATAAGAGAAAGAGACCATGTCCAAGATGGAATCTGTGGTCTTTTCATAACTCAGACTGACACCCACCCCATGGCCCAGTCCAGCCCATCTCCCATCATTCTAAATAGTTTTACTGAAAACACAGCCAGGCCTACTTGTTTAGGAATTCTCTATGGTTGTTTTGAGCTACCATGGCAAAACTGAGTAGTTAGGACAGAGACCATAGGGCCTAAAACCCTAAGACATATATCACCTGGCCTTTAACAGAAAGTTTGCTGATCCCTGATCTACTAGAAGATAGCCACGGAAAGTTGCTACTCCAAAAGCTACACAGTAAACATACTATTTTCCTGCTCAAGACCCTCCCATGGATCCTCATTTCTATGCTCATGTAACTTTTCCATCAAACAATTTTAGGGACAAAGGAGCTTAAAACAAAAATTCTGGGGAATGGGACAGACAGAAGTAGCCACTACAAATGACAAGTCTCTGTGGTTCATGGTTTATGAGCCAACCCACCAGACTTGTCCCCAAGGCAGAAACCTACCATACCAGTTCTGAATCCCTGACCTTTTCTCATGCTGTCCCCTATCCCTAGAACACCTTTTCCTCTCTCCTCTGCCTTGGGAGAGTCTCATCCTCTTCCAAGAGCTCAATTCAAGACGCACCTGTCTGACAGCCTTCCAGATGTCTGCACCCCCGCACAGCGGACACGCTCCTCAATGCTTCCTAACGAGTGGCATTTATAGTTGTGGTCTCAAGGCTGAAAACCTTAAATTCATGGGTCAGTCCCTTTTTTTCACACTCCATTTGCAGTAACAGCTAATACTTGGGAATTACTACATCAGGCACAGTTATTATTCTATATTTGTTCTATGCTGTGAGTGCTTTCTTTACACACTTAAGTCACATAACACACACGATAGCCTATGCGGCAGGTACTATCAGAATACGTTTTATAGATGTGCCAAGACCTGAAGAGACTTGCAAAAGGTCAGAGTCACTTAGTTGTGGACCTGAGATTCAGTTCAGTCCCCACTGTCCACCATCATCATGCACCTCACATGCCTACTGCACCGTGTGTTTTTTTTACTCACAGAACATATCGCCTTGTGACATATTTATGTGTCCTTTCTACTTGTCAGAGAGTGAGAGAGAGATCACGAGCAGGCGGGGAAGGGTAGAGGGAGAAGCAGGCTCCCCACTCAGCAGGGAGCCTGATGCAGGACTTGGATCCCATGACACTGGGATCATGACCTGAGCCGAAGGCAGATGCTTAACTGACTGAGCCACCCTGGCGTCCCTTATGTGTCCTTCCTGAAGCGTTCCCACGCTAAAATTGAGCTTCGTCAGAGCAGGGACACCATTCTGTTTCATTTCAGGATAGCGGGCATGACACTTGGCATGCTGTATTTCTAGGATTTTGTTACATGTCTTCTCTGCCAGGTCTCCTCTTTTTTTTTTTTTTTTTAAACATTTTATTTATTTATTTGAGAGAGAGAATGAGAGAGAGAGAGAGCATGAGACGGGGGAGGGTCAGAGGGAGAAGCAGACTCCCTGTCGAGCAGGGAGCCCGATGCGGGACTCGATCCAGGGACTCCAGGATCATGACCTGAGCCGAAGGCAGTCGCTTAACCAACTGAGCCACCCAGGCGCCCCAAGGAAGTGGATTTTAAAATGGAAATAAAAGCACATTTGCCTTAATAAAGCCATCACACTCAAAGATGGGGACTCTGCAAGAATTGCCCCCCCTTTCCACCCCTGCCCCTCTCCATTTGACACTGCTGCAGTCACCCACAGTTTGGCCTGAGGGGCCAGCCAGGACAGGGGCCTCGGAGGCTGGGGCTCCTGGGAGGGTTTGTGCAGTCCTCAGCCCTGGCAACCCCGGCCCAGCCGGACTGCACTCACAGCACTCGCGGCATCATTCATTGGCGAAGCCACGGCACAGCCTAGAGGCGCCCTTCTAACAAAGGGGCTGGTGGGACAGGACATGGGCTGCTGCAATTCCCACAGTGACAAACATCACAAGCAGCCAGAGGAAGCGGAGGCAGGGAGGTGGGCCAGGTTCCCAGTTCCCTTCTGTACAATCCCAGCGGCGGGGTCTCTAACCTCCCTCTCAGCCCTGCCTCGTCCATCCTTCACAGACACCCGCAGGTTTCCTAAACCACAAAGCGTTGTCGATCTGCTCAAACCTTTCCGTGGCTCCCCATCACTCCGCTTCTCAGATGTTTCCAGCGAACCCCCCCCCCGCCCTTACCCTACTTAAAATGTGGTACCTTGACCAGCAGCATAGGCAACACGGGGGAGCTTGTTAGAAATCACAATGTCAGGTCCCTAACTATAGAATCAGACCCTGCATTTTGATAAGATCCCAGGAGTTCAGACGCACTTTAAGTTTGAACAGTGCTGCTTTAGGAGCTTGGTACAGAGCCAGAAGCAGCCCCGACTGTGACTTTTTTTAGTGAGTGGTAGATCATTTTAAAAAATTAAAAAAATTTCTTGTCACACATTCAGAAACGCTGATTACTCAGAATATTACAATAGATGGCCTGGTATAAAGTACTCAACAGCAAATCCAGGCGCAGCCCGGAGCACAAATACCCCAGGTGCAGAAGCAGGTACACACAGGGTCAAGTTTAAACTCTTCCAGGTCATATGCAGACCTCTACAACCATGCCTCCTACCTCCCCGTTCCTTGCAAACACCCATAAACCCTATCATGTCACATTTTGACCTACTGAGAGACTCCCAGGGTTAGTTCCGGGATGCCCATTCCCTGCACCTGGGATGCTGTTCGGGTGGCTGAGCTCACGCTTCTGGGCCCAGACCAAGAGTCACTTGGTCTAATAAGCTTTCTCACACTCCCCAGTGCTCGGTGGACTCCCTCTCTAGTGCTCCCACAATAAAAACACAGGATACCTACATCTCCTTAACTGCCTGTAGCAGGCCTGGGACCACAAACCACATCACTAGTAGGGCCACCTTTCACTTTCAAAACTGCCCCATTTGGCAAATGACATGGCTAGTCTCAACAAGTGCTCAGGCCACGAGCCTTGGGACCAAGGCTGGACACTTACACACACGCACAGTCCCGTAGCAACACCTTCGGAACGCAGTGCGCACACCATCCAGCGCCTGCAGGGGCCACTCTGCCCCAAGCACCCCCCCCCAGCTGCTTGTGCGCCGCCCCCAACTTCAATTCTTAACCCAGTCAGTCTCCTCATACCTGGTCAGATCCCGCCACTCCTCTGCTTAAACCTTCAAACCATTTCCGTGTCCCTTGCAGTCAGAGCGACTGCTCCTGCTGACCTCACCATCTACCATTTTCTCCCAAACCACTTGGGTCTCTTGCTGCTCCTCAGCCCTTTGCCCTGCCTGTTCCACCGACCTAAAATATAGAACACCCTTTCCCTACGCATCCTTGTGTGTATTCCACACGTCCTTGCTCAAATGTCACTTATCAGGTATGTCACCTGACTGCCCTATATAAAACAGCAACCCCTCCCTACCCCGTTCTTTTTCTACGGAACTTACTACCTGATATAATTTTTTTCCTGCCTTAGCACAATGAGGCACTGTTCTAAGCTTACAAATGTCAGATCCAAGTGTATAAGCACTGTGTTCACTGATGCACCCCGAGCATCTGTGGGCACCCAACTTACCTGGCAAACCAAAGACCATCACTGGGGGCGCTGTACTGTGATTATACGTTCACAGAGCGTTTTTTTTTCTTTTAAAGATTTTGTTTATTTGACAGAGAGACACACAGCGGGAGAGGGAACACAAGCAGGGGGAGTGGAAGAGAGAGAAGCAGGCTTCCCGCCGAGCAGGGAGCCCGTTTACAGAGCTGTCTTAACTTACTAGATCATCTCTCCTGGAAATTCCTAGCGTCCAGCAGACTCTGGAGGGTCCCACGGTCACAGTGAATGTTAAGTGACTGAATGAACTGCCCTGAAGGCAGAGGCCAGACGAAATGCTTTCCTGGGGCTCCTTCTTGCTCTGCCTTCTCCTCTCTCCTGTTACAGTCCCTACAGATCGAACCTTCCTTTGGCCTACAGGCTTTTGAGCACATTCCCAGATGAGAAGCACTGGACATTCATTTGACAATAACGACAATCAAAGAGAAACTTTCATTCTGAAAAGAATTTATCTCACCTTTTCCTGGCCAAGTCAATGGCTTTGGTTATTTGCACAAAGGTTCTAAAAACTGGCTTTCAGCATTTGTTTTTCCAGGCAAGTGAAAAGTTCACCAAAGGAAGCTAGAGTTCTGCTCTCAACCTCTGTGAGGTCTGCTCTGAGGACCTAGGCTGGATATCATCCCAGCCTGGAAGATGCTTCCTGCTATCATTTTGGGGCCTGCCACGGTCAGATCCACGCTCTCCTCCCCAAACCCTCCAGGCCATGCAGTGTCACGTGCAGTTGTGGCAAAGAAGCTCCTGAAATGCATGATTACATCAAAAAGTTTACCCCAAAGTCAGCCAATACACATAGTACCTAGAACTCATCCCCTATTCTAGGTTACTCACCAGACAGGTTACATGATGTGCACCAGTTAACATGCCACAGAAAAATTACATTTCTGGAAAAAAAAAAAAAAAAGAGACAAGCAAACAAAGAAAATGAAAAGAACACAGCTCTCCTCCTCTGATCTGAGACTGCAAAATTCCAAAATGCGGACGCCACCCCTCTCCATGCCCAACAGCCCCCCAGGGGCTTCTCAATCTGATCCAAAGCAGCGGCATCCACATCCTTGACTGGTCTGGGCTCTTGCTTCAGCAGCTGCAGCCACGCAGTGTCTTCTGTCTTGCAGAACTCTGACCGCAAGCCTCTTTCATGCGTCCCCGAATTCCAGGAAGCATAAAAAAAACACAGCAGAGCACAAGAGTATACTTCGGAACTTTAAAAACACGATAAAGTCACAGTAACGAATATGACAACACAGCAGCTTACAATCTAGGCCCTATTCCTTTAGGTAACAGTATTTATCTAAAAGCTGTTTTCTCGAAACTCGATGCACGTAATCATCATAGGCATATCCGCATACATAATACTGAAATCCTCTCCCCAAGATTATACTGGAGATTTAGTATTTAACATGGTGAAAATCTAGGGAAAATACGGGAGAGAAAAGGAAAGACTCTTGGATTCAGCCTCTCCAGCAAGTCCTCTTTACCAGCTGAACAGAATCCATCCACGGATAAGCTGGAGTACAAGTGGGGAAATCAATCATCACAATTTAAATTCTAAGACTCTCACATCCTGGAGTCAAACCAACCCAACCACCCGTGCAAAATGCTACCGCTTGCTGTCAGGACATGGGCAACGCTCCGATCTCATCACAGCACGTAAAGTTCCTGTCCTGCACTTCCGTTTCACGCTTCTCTCACTGGCCCCCTCGTCTCTTGGCGCTAGGGCCTCGGCTCTCACCCGAGGGAGGAGGCTGGTCCGCCTTCTGCAAATACGCTCCCAGCAGTGGTCTTGACCTTTCACAACAACGGACCCAAGCACTCGCTTCTAATTCCCAACGTAAGAGCGCCACCCTGTGTCTGATCAGCCCTTCTCCCACCGCCCGGCGGGGCACTCCGAGGCAGGGCGACACAAACCCCCGTCCAGCGCGCCGCCCCCCGACAGCCCCCGCCGCCCGGCACGTACCCGCCCCCGCGTCCTTCAGGAGCACCCGCAGCTCTCTATCTGCCGGTGGAGCTCCACGATCCTCCGTCCCATCAGCGCCGCCTCGGCGGCCTTCCTCTCCGCCTTCTCGCACAGCTTCAGCACCCGCTCCTCCGCCTCGCCGCCCGCGCGGCGGCCGGGACCCAGGACGCCCTCGGCTGAGGCGTCCACCTCGCTCTGAAGCTCGTCCAGCAGGCTCGCGACCTCCAGCAGCTTCCGGCGGGCCCGCAGGTGCGCGCGCACGTGCTCGCGCTCGAGGGCGGC